GGGAGGGAGGGAGGCGCCGAGCCAGGCCCCCCCTCGAGCCCCGCGCTCGGCCCGGAAGGGTCTGCGGGGGTAGGGGGGGCTGGCGCGGGCTCCCCAAGGCCCGGGAGGCGGAGGGCGGCAGGGGAGAGGGGAGGCGACGCCGGGCCGGCCGGGGGGACGGACGGACGGGTCTCGCCCCAGACAGTGTCGGCCGGGGGGGGCGCTGCTAGCCGGGTGCCTCTCGCCGGACCCCCAGGCTGGCCTCCGCCGCTTGCTGGCCTTGCCGGGGGCTGTCTCTGTCCGCCGCCCCGTCGTCTTGCGCCCCGTGGACTGCTCCGCGGCCCTTGCCGCCCGCTGGCCGTCGGGGGAGGCTCCGGGGGAGGGAGGGAGGGAGGGCGACCCGCTGCTGCCGCCGCTGCCGCCGGGGACCCTCCAGCAGGGCCGAGGAGGCCGCTCTCGCGGAGCCGCCCGCCCTCCCTCCCTCCCCGCACAGAAGGGGGATTCTCTGAACCTCGGCAGCTCCAGGGAGGGAAAGCCGCGGGGCAGCCTGACAGGAACCCCCCAGGTATGGCTTCTGGCCCTCCCCGGACTTTCCTGGGGGAGGTTCTCTGTCGGGGATGGGCTGCCTCACCTTGTCAGCTGCTCCGAGACACCTTTGGGTAGTGAAGGGCCATGGGGTATAAACCCAATCTCTTCTTCTTCCTCCCAGGGTGTCTGTTGTGGGGAGGGGAAGGGAAAGGAGATTGTGAGCCACTCTGAGACTCCTTCGGGTAGTGAAGGGCCATGGGGTATACATCCAATCTCTTCTTCTTCCTCCTCTTCTTCTTCCTCACAGGGTGTCTGTTGTGGGGAGGGGGAGGGAACAGAGTTTGTCAGCCGCTCTGAGACACCTTCAGGTAGTGAAGGGCGGGGTATAGATCCAATCTCCTCCTCCTCCTCCTCTTCTTCTTAAATTTAATTTCCTTCCAAAGTCTGTTTTAGGCCCCCCCCCCCAAGGAGAGAGTCCCCCCCACAGCTTTAGAATTTCCAGAAGTTGTACCTTTCTGGGCTGAGCAGGATTTTAGCGTGTGCCTCCCTGGTTGTGGCCCCCGCGTGATAACAACCGAGCCGCACTGGCTCTTCCGGGGCAGAAGGTCTCCCCTGGAGTGAGAAGCAAAGGCCAGGGAGCCCTCTGGACTGTTCCAGGGTCTGGTGCCCATGGACTGTGGGGAGCCTTTGCCTCCTGGCGGTGTGCCCGTGCCAGGGGCCCCAGGGCAGGAGCAGCCCAGTGAGTTTGGGGCTGGTTCCTGCTGGGAAGGCCAGGGACGGCGTCTTTGTGGTGTGCCAGTTGTGTCATGATGACTGTGGCTCCTACATCTTTGGGCTGGTTCCCAAACCTCTCCGTGTCTGTTTGAGGATGGCAGGGGTCTTTCCGGATAATGGAGCAGCCGTTTATGGCCTAGAAAGCTCAGAGCCAATGGTGGAGGGTGGGGGAGAAGGGAGCCGGGAGCCGGTTAAGAGGTGAATAGCAGTTAGCTAATTCTTCTGGGTATGGAAGGTCAAGGTTGTTGCTGGTGGTGGCTTTGCCTGTGGGTGAAGAAGAAGATTGGATTTATACCCCTTTGCCCTTCACTACCCAAAGGAGTCTCAGAGCAGCTTACAAACCCCTTTCCCTCCCCCTCCCCACAAACAGACACCCTGTGAGGCAGGTGGGGCTGAGAGAGCTCTGACAGAAATGGCTCTTTTTTTCAAGAACAGCTCTTATCAGAGCTATGGCTTGCCCAAGGCCATCCAGCCAGGTGCAAGTGGAGGAGTGGGGGAATCAACCCCAGTTCTCCCAGATTAGGGTCCGTGCACTCAACCACTGCACCAAACTGGCATAGGAACCATCTGCTCGGGGGGGGGGGCTGGCACAGAGGGTCACCAGAGGAAGGTGGCTCAGATTGGTGGTGTCAGAGAGTTGGCCACGGTGCTGAGTTCAGCCCACTGGGGGCAGGGGAGAGGGCTCTTTAAATGCCTCCTTGGCTTGGAACCCTGTTTACAGCGTGTTTTTGCGAGCGCTGTGTTCACACTGCTGGGCTTGGCCCAACGGCAGGCCAGCCAGAAATGAGGTTTTGTGCCAGGCCAAGTTCAGAGCCTCCTCCCTTGTTGTAAAGGCCCCCGCACTGCCCAGAGAGGGGCGATCCCAGATGGGAAGCCTGACACTCCTTGGCCCGAAGGGAAATCGGCAGCCCCTTTGGGGAGGGGGGCTCCTTCCGGTGGGAATGGCCTTCGTCGACAAGCAGGTAGAGCTGGGTAGAGCTCAGTGTGCTTGTTAGCCAAATTGCTCTGATTTATTAATAAAGATGGGGAAATTGAATATTTTAAAGAGCAATTGGCAAATAGGGAGCAATGACCTTTGTATACAGGAGTCCCGCCCTTTCCAGTAATCCCAGAAATAGACCAGAGACCAGGTCTTAGTGAAATGGTTTCTTTACTGAGGAATTTGCATTCATACAAATAAGTACATTCACACACTCAATCAATACAGTACTAGGAAAAACAGACTGAAAAGGTACAGAGACATTCGCATCAGCAGGAGATCGTTGGTTGGGCAAATACTGACCTGATGTGATGAAGCGATCCTTGCAGCGGGAAAAATAGCGGAGTCTCTAAGGGAAAAAGGGTCATATTCTGAACTGGCAAAACACGTGGAGAGACTCTGGACAGTGCTTACACCGAGAGCCAGCAAGATAGGATGGGGTCAGGTATAGCCAGTTTGGTGTAGTGGTTAAGTGCATGGACTCTAATCTGGGAGAACCGGGTTTGATTCCCCCACTCCTCCACTTGCACCCGCTGGATGACCTTGGGCAAGCCATAGTTCTGATAAGAGCTGTCCTTGAAAAAGAGCAGTTTCTGTCAAGAGCTCTCTCAGCCCGCCTAACTCGCAGGGTGTCTGTTGTGGGGAGGGGGAGGGGGAGGGAGAGGAGTTTGTAAACCACTCTGAGACTCCCGAGTGAAGGGCGGGGTAGAAATCCAATCTCTTCTTCTCCTTAAGAAGAACTTGAAGCTCTAACTAGGACAGAAACAATTTTTGGTTGCTTCCTTTTAACTGGGGGTGTAAGCTATACATTCCTTTATTTTTACTTCATTTACACCCACCTTTCTCTGTCACTGGGACCAAAAGCAGTTGATATCATTCTCTCCTTCGCCTCCTTTTTATCCTCGCAACACCACTATGACGTGAGGGTTGGAAGTGTGGAATTTAGGTGTCGAGAATTATGTCTAGCATGGGCCGGTAGTTCAGGCACACTTTAAAAAATATTTTGCAGTGATAACGTGGAAACCTCTTTGCTAACGAACTGCAAATTCAGTATGAGGAAAAGGCCAGTTACGTCCCTGGGAAGAATACAGGCCAGTGCCATGTATGCAGGCAGGCTTGTTTTACTAGACTCGGCTCTGTTTATAAGCTTCCTCTTGAATCTTAGTGTGGCGGAATGTGGACTGTGCACAAAGGGAGCCATTAGCAGGAAGGGAGACCCAGGAGAGGGGTGGCTGGAAAAGACACCATTCTGTGGTCAGGGGGGGTGCTCTCCTCTCCCCTTGGGTGGGAAGGCCAGATTACTTTGTATAAAAAGGGGCCATTTCATGCCAGCTGGTTGTGCTCTTCAGGCGTGGTGGCAGCTGATCCCGGAGAAGGGGGGGGAGAATAATCCCTCGGTTGCCTGTGAGGAGGGGAAAAGGGCTTGGCTCCCGGCGGCCAGGACAGAGTCTTCATCCAGTTAGGCAGAAGTCAGCGACTCTTCTTGTGGAGGTTTCTCTGGGTTCCGTTCAAGGGGCAGAGCGTCTTCCGGCAAGGGAGGGTTGCTGGCTGCAGAATTTTTGCACATCTGGACGTCCTCACAGGGCACACGAGGCTCCCGTGAAGGCATCAGTGGCTCTTAGCTACAAGGGATAGGTAGGAACTCTTCAGTCTGGGGCAAGGGATGCCCTGTAGTCTTGGTGCTTGGGGGGAGGGGGGGCAACAGTGGGAGGGCTTCTGGTGTCCTCCTGGCCCCACTGCTGGACCTCCTGGCGGCACCTGGTATGTCTGACCACCGTGTGACACAGGAGCGTTGGACTGGAGGGGCCACTGGCCTGAGCCAACATCTGGCTCCTCTCCTGTGTTCTTATGTTCTCTCTGGCCCAGGGACATGATCCGTGGGCAGGGCTGGATGGGGAAATACCCGCAGGTTTTGGGGGTGGGGCCTGGGGGTGGGGTTTGGGGAGGGGAGGGGCCTCACTCGGCAGGGTCTAAAGCCACAGCGCCCGCCCACCAAAGCAGCCATTTTCTCCAGGAAACCTGGGGATCGGGTCTAACTCGGGCAGCTCTCCGGGCACCACCTTCTGCCTGGCAGGCCTGTGAATCGTGGGCCCTGCCTCAGCTGCAGCTCCAGGGTGGGGAAGGCCATGGGCATTGCCTGCCAGGCGGAAGGTGGCAGGCCCTGCAATCTCTGCTGAAGGACTTCATTGTGCCAGTGGGAGTGGGAGTGCTTCGGCAGGGTCCCACAATTGGCTCTTTCATGCCAGCCGGGGACGATATTAAAACCCACTTCCTCCCCCCTTCAATGGGTGGGTGGGGGCTGGGAGCAGCATGCCAAGCTTTCCGGGAGTTTGGAAGGCCTTTATTGCCCCCCCGCACCGGTGCTGGGGGGTGGCGGCGTGCCACTTCCTTCCTTCCCTACATGCCAGGCTTGCCTGAGCTGTGATGAGTGTGGAATCAATCAAACAGGCCTTCTTCTTCTTCTTCTTCTTCTCCTCCTCCTCCTCCCCCCCCCCCCCCAGACCCCCGGAGACAACACCTCCCCCCCCGCCTGCGGTGCCCCCCCTCGCTCGGGGATCGCTTGCCACCCTGGGCTCATCCTTTGAAGCCCCTGAAACGCTTCCTCCGGCTGCCTGGGCAGTCACTCGCCCCTTCCATGCTGTGCAGATCAGCAGCTCCCTCTTTGCCTGTGTGCGGAGGCCGTGGAGGAGTGGAGCAGCAGAAAATGCAGCGGAGCCAGGAGGGCCAGAGCCGGCTGGCTGCCAAGGAGACCCCACCCAGCCAGCGGCTGAGCTTCCAGGGCCTAATGGGGTCCATGTGTGCCTGGGAGCGGGAGGGGCCTCAGCAGCTGGGCGGGGCGGGGCGGGGAAGGCAGGGGCTCCCCGGGGGGGCCAGGCTGCTGGGGAATGGCTGCCTGGCTGGGTGGAAAGAGGAGGCTGGGACTGCGCGGACTCCCCTCAGGCGCTGGCAGAACCACGGCCTAACGACACAAAGCACGGTCAGTGTGACGGTCCAAGTGTGGGCCACTCTGATGCTGCGTGATCGAGCGTGGCTGGTCGATCCTCACTTTGTAGGATGTGCCCCCACACAAATCCCGGCTTGTTCCTCAGCGGCACCTCCCAGGCTGAGGGCGGCAGAACCCCCGTTTGTTTGAGGCCAATGAGGAGTTGTCCTGGGGACTGTTTGTGAGCCCTGTCTTGCTCGCACAACCTAACCATCGTTGGAGGAAGGCACGGTTTTATGCAATGTCTGAACAGGGCATGTTTTGCCTGAGCCACCATTTCAGACATCAGCCGGAGGCGCCCGATTCCTTGGATGTATTGCAGGTTGAACCAAGCATGTGCGTGCGGAGACCCTTGTGAATCTGAAGAGTGTTTGCTGCAGCTGCCTCTTATTATTTGTTTGTTTAATTTGTATCCCACCCTCCCCTGCCGAAGCAGGCTCAGGGCAGCTCACATACAATTCCACGAAGCAAATAATACTAATAATTTGATAAAACCTAAACAGCATGATAAAAAGCAGAGACATCACCCTGCCAACAAAAGTCCGCATGGTCAAAGCAATGGGATTCCCAGTAGTCATGTATGGCTGTGAGAGTTGGACTATAAGGAAGGCCGAGCGCCGAAGAATAGATGCTTTTGAACTATGGTGCTGGAGAAGACTCTTGAGAGTCCCTTGGACTGCAGGGAGATCAAATCAGTCAATCATAAAAGAAATCAACCCTGACTGTTCCCTGGAAGGCCAGATAATGAAACTGAAGCTCAAAGACTTTGGCCACCCAATGAGAAGGGAGCACTGCCTGCAGCCCCTGATGCTGGGAAAGACTGAAGGTCAAAGAAGATGGGGACGGCAAAGGATGAGATGGTTAGACAGTGTCATCGATGCAACGAACATGAAATTGAGCCAACTTCAGAGGATGGCGGAAGACAGGAGGGCCTGGCGGGAGCTGGTCCATGGGGCCGCGAAGAGTCGGACTCGACTGTGCGACTGAACAACAACAACAATAAAACACAACATAAAGTCCTAGTGCATATCATGTGGCGATGGCCTGTGTTATAATTCTGCCATGAGCCAAGGCGGGTGGACTGACCCCTTTTGCACCAAGCGCCTCGGCTGTGTTCAGATGTCAGCCTGAAGCCAGGGTTGAGCTCGGTCCTGGTTTGTTCCTCGGATTCTGCCTTCCCTGCCTCCCTCCCTCCCTCCCTGCCTGCCTCCCTGTGTCCCTTTGCATGCAGATCTGCCACTGAAGGCCTCCTGGCTTGAGGAAAAGACAGCTTGTGGTATCATCTGACTTCAGGAGCCGGCTGTGTGACTGAACAACAACACGAAACAAAATGCAGTTTGTTTCTTGCCCTGTTGCTTGCACTCTGAACCCTGGGCTAAGAATTCCAACCACCGAATGCAGAAGGGAATCCAGTCCGCTGAAGTGCCCCCACACGTGGGCGTCCCACCGTCCTGGAGTTCGAGGATCAGAAGGCCTTCAGGGGTGGCTCCGGGCTCCTTCTGGGATATCCGAACAAGGACTCAGGAGAGGGGCTCACTGAATTCTTTGGCCGCCGCGTGTTTTCGTTGTTCCTCTGTAGCCTTAAGGTTTTGCGGTTCTGGAAACTACATACAATCCCGTTCCCTTGGGCAAAGCATGTTGGGTCTGCTTTCTGGTTGGGGAGGGGAGGGGAGCGGAGGGTGTGCAGGAAGGGGGGGTGGGGTGAGGTCAGGGCCGCCATTTCCAGCTCTGCCTTTGGAAATCTCCAGGATCACTGCCAGGCTCCCAACTATTGATTTCAAAAGAGAGGAAAGACGTGTGTGTGTGTGTGTGTGTGTGTGTGTGTGTGTGTGTGT